GCAACTCAACTTTAGACAGGCCCATGTCTCCAGACTACAAATCCAGCGCCGTGCTTTGTAATTTTTTCCCTACTCACTGTTTTTCTAAGAACAATTAATAACATCATTTAAGGTATAGTTACATTTTTTCAAAACAAATATACAACAACAAGGAGATCTTGATCTCCTTGGTTACTTCAGGACCACTTTGTATCCTACAGAATTACTTCTCTCCTGTATGTGCCCTGTCTGGTCCTCTCTGCTCTCATGTTTGCCAAAGCAGTTCTTCTGCTCTTGAAGTAATGGAGCAGCTCTTTTCACTCACCCTCGACAGGATGGGTGCCAGGCTATTCAGATGTGCAAATTGTTGCTTTGTTCATTCAATTCCAAGTCTCTCCTCACAGCAAGACACAGCTCACAGTGAAAAAGATATAAAAATCTCTTCTCTCCCCAGGTGTCTTTCTCAAACCATCAAGGGAAGCATTGGGCAAATGTGCAGCTGAGAGGTTTCCTTTCTCTCACACACCAGCGGGATTTAAATCTCAGCCAATAGGTTTCCAACTGCTGCTGCCTTTCTCCAGCCAATCAGCAAAGCAAATGTCATTCTTCCAATTAGCACTTTCCCAGCAAAGCTACTGAAGGGTCAGTTTTTTCAGATAGAAACCTTTTTCTGTCTATTTCTTCACAAAGCTCTTCACAGCCTGGAGAGTAGCTATGTAGGATTTTTTTTGGGAGGGGGGCAGGGGGTGATGGAATTATCACTAACTTTTTACAAAACTGGCTTCTTAACTGCTTTCCTGCTGACTTCTTAACTGCCTCTAATGCTTCAAAGCAAAGCTTCCTGGTGATTCCTTATGAAATGAAACTTTTAAAAAAATCCTTTTTTTGCTCACATATGAACGTGACATTCCTTATATAATCTTCTTATAGTCATTAAATAGCTACTTGATTTTTGTAATTATGATTTTATAATTCTGTCAATTATAAACTTCAAAACTCTAAAATTAGTCACATAAAAATAAGCAGATAGATCACAATGCCCTGCAGCCATTGTCAGCTCACATATTGCTCTCTGCAAACATCCTTTCAGCACATTCATCTGAAGAGCAGTTTCTGTTTCTCAGAACAGTCCATGTCCTTCCTTAACATTTTATTTGACAGACTGTGCTTCTTTGAAAGGGGATCTTTGTCCATTTTCCTTTCACAAATATGTGGCCTATAGGATTCCTTATGTATAGATTAACTGGATGGCCTACAGGGAAACTAATGTATGGATTAATGCCCAATTTCTATTTGAGCTTGACACCACTGTTTTATGTTTTAAATATTTGTTTTAAAAGCATGGTAATGAATTTTTTTTTAATGTTTTAAACATTATTTTGTGGCTGAGGAAATAAATAACTTTTCTACACACATCCCTTCTGGGATTCGTAGACAAGAGCCATATTTAAAAATTTATCTATAAGATTTCCTTAGAGGGATGTGTGTGTGTGTGTGTGTGTGTGTGTGTGTGTGTGTGTGTGTGTGTGTAGGTTGTAAGGCAGAAAAGCCTGATCCTCTCATTTTGAGGTCAGCCCCTCCTTGGACATGAATCTGATATCCAGGTGAGTCCACAGCCAGCGGAGGGGCAGGAGAGTGGGGAAGGAGGAGGGGAACAAGAGAAGCTGCTTAGAGTCAGGGCTCATGAACAGCCTCACACAGAAGAGTATCCTTGAGGTGAGCTTTGAAGGGAGCTAAGGATTCTAAAAGATGGAAGTAAGCAGGGAACGGCATTCCAGAAATGCAGGAGAGCCCATACAAAGGCCAAGGGCAGGATAATTTATAATCTGCACTATTTGAACAAGTACACACAGACATAGAAACACACACACATACACAGATACAGATACAGACACACACACACACACACACACACACAGAGGTAAGAACATCGCTATGTCAGAAGTACTGAAGTACTGAAATAAAGTTTACAAAGTACTTTCCTCATCCTGTAATAAGTAATATGTAATAATTATATCCTGTAATAAGTAATGTTAAGTAATAAGTAATATTATCTCATATTATATTCATTTTACAGATGACAAAATTAGGGCTTGAAGGTGTTAAGTAATTTTTATACACACACACACACACACACACACACACACAAGTCCATGCCTCTTGACTAAAAGTTCAGTACTGCTTCTTACAATTTTTTCCTTTACTCAATTTAAAAAAAAACCAATTAATCATATCATGTAGAATTGATTATATTTCTTAAGACCACACATGTAACTAGTAATAAACTTACTGAGATTCTTTTTTTTTTCGCTTTAAATATATTATTTAATTTGATTCTTACAAAGCCCTGAAAAGTAGGTGCTATTATTGTCACCATTTTACAGACAAGAAAACAGAGGCTAAGAAGTCAAGAGACTTGCTGAGTTCACACACCTCCTTCATGTCTGAGCCAAGATTTGAATTCAGTTCCTCCTGATTGGGGCCCCACTTCATAGAATCACAGAACCTTAGAATTGAGAGAAACTCAACAGCCATATAGCTGAAACCATACGTGAAAGGAATTCCCAGGAGACCACATTCAATAAGTGGTCAACCAGCCTCTGCCTGAAGTCCTCTGGTGAAATTTGTAGCATGATATCACTAGAAAAAGCACTTTTTTTTCTGGGTAATTTAATCATTTTATTAATAAGGCCATTTTATTACTAAAAGGATGGTCATTTGGCCATCTCTCTTAGACCACAGACCCCTAATGATAGTGGGGTCACAGTTTATATACCCTTCAAAGGGTATATTTAACTCAGATTGGTTAACAGAATGGGAGCTGTGGGCTACATTAAAATGAAGGTCTTGGGGTATATGACTTAGGTCACTCAAATCTTAGTCAAAGAGACATCAATTTCCATATCACCTGTTTTAATTATAGGGAGAATCAATTTTTCCCCATGTCTATCTGAGCAAACACAATGAGTAGGAATACACCTTTACTGAGATTCTTAAGCAGCTAAGTGGGGCAGTAGAGAGAATCAGGGACTTGAAGTCTTAAAGACCTGATATTACTTTGGAAACAAAGATAAGATCTGACCCAAAAACACAAATGGAATCGTAGCTTGGTTTTACATAGATATGTTAATATTGTTCTCAATTCAGTATTATTCCACAGAATAGCTTCTTTGTATATTTGTTTAAGAACATTTACGTATCCATATTTCACAGGAAGAGAGGAAGGAAGGAGGGAAGGGAGGAAAAGAAGGAATATAAAATGGTTCAGGATCAGAAAGAAAACATAATGATGATGACAGAACTGAAATAAAACCAACTAATCATATACTCATGAGCAATTACAAATAGGAATATTCCATTCAAGTTGCAAACTTTTAATCTCTTTGAAACAGAAAAATGTTATATTTTAGCTAGGAAACTAAGAATTTAAAGTGATTCAGTTCTCATATCTTTCTATAAGCAGATACAAGAGAAAGGCTCCAATTTGAGGTTTCTTCTGCTATGATAAAGTACCACAGCATAGATAAATAATCCTTTCCATTTTATGTCAAATTGATTTATATTTTTAGTTCCCTCAATAAAAATGTTGAAGGTGATTTGAACAAATGCACTATATTTATAGCATTTAATAGTCATCTGTAAATTGATCTGTGGTTATACAGCCTTATATATGGAAAGAGAAAATTATTAGATTATGTTGTTTATAGCTGGACTGCCACATGTCAGACCCCTTTACCTTCTTACTGTCACATTGATATTTTGCTGATGTTTGACATTTTTTTCATCATAGAGGCATATGAGTTTTCCAAAATCTACCAAGACATATTCTTGTGAACTCACAATACTTTAGTCTAGCATTTTAAGATTCTAGAAATCAGTTACACATATAATAAAAAATAGAGCTTACATAGTATACATGTAGAAGGCCACTAAGCCTTCCCACCCCTTTTTAGAAATATTAAGAAATAAACATTTCTTCAGTCTGAAATTCTTTCCAGACTTACCAGAATGGAGAAAACTTTATGAGTACTCAAATTTCTAGGAATTCCCTTTTTTCTCTTTATTGAAGGCATAACCATTTTGTGTGTAGAAACTGTTTAAAGATGTGGGAGGAGGAGGGGGAAAACTATTCTCTCTGAAGACAGAATTAGAGTAGTGACAAGAAAAGATGGGGAGTGGGGTATAAGCCATGAATGAATAGGATAATGATCATACTAACAGAAGGATGATGATTTTGACTAATTCAATCAATAGAAGTATCTCTTGAATTCACCTTTGGCCAGGGAGAAAGGAGAATCCTTGAAAGAAGTTGGTGAACAGAGAACTGAATGGCTTAGGAAAATTATTCTTTAGGTGGCACCAACATTTTATTTTAAGTGAATATTTTTCTGGCCGATGAATCAAACTACTACTTGAACCTTGTTATTATTGTAAAATTTTGTGTATTCTTTGGGAATACTATAAATTGTAACCCCAAAATAGCTTGATGACAGAGTGAGATGTGGAAAAGCAGGATAGTTTCTGACCCTTTTGATTTATTTGTCTAAGCAGAGACGATAAAGAATTAGAATAGTTTAATCAATAAATTGTATCTGGCAGGCCTATACCTCAAACACAGAGTAAAGTATTTTTTTTGTTCCACATACTTTACCACTTTCAAAGTAATTTACTTACATTACCTGATCCTCACAAAACTCTGTGAGGTGGGTAATGCAAGGATTATTATCCACATTTTACAAATGAAGAAAGAGATTTCCTGAGAGTGTCCATAGTCACACACCTGGTTAAGCAGCAAAGCTTAGGCTTAAACCCAAGTCTTCTGGCTTCAAATACTGTGCTAGTTCTTTAAGACACAATTGTTATTCAGGTCAGACAGAGTATATATTCATTTTGCTCAAGATAAATTACATATTTTAACAGCAAAAGGTTTTATTTTTTGGAGCGAAGCAAGAGAAAAATAGATGCCTTTTAATTGTGTTATAAATATAACTTAAAACTTAGCAAGTTACCAAGATACTAACTGTTGGAATGAGTAGTGACTTCCTCATTATGATACAACCAGCTAACAACGGGTGCAGGTGAGCTGCTAACTTGGCAAACCACTTCTGCATCCTCTCCTTGTTTAAATTCTTGAGGAGATACCACTTCTTTGAAAGTGAGTTTTTCTGTAATAAGGAAAAATTAAAAAAAAAGCCAAAAGGATAAAATGTAGTTTCATTTTTCCATCCAAGTTCATGTAAATTAATGTAATAGTAGATTTTTTATTTAAACTAGTCCTGCAAAATCTGTCATTCTTTTTCATAGCATCACAGGATTTAGAGCTAGATAGAATATTAGATCACTTACTCCCACCCCCTCATTTTGTATGTGAAGAAACTGTGGTCACAGATTATGAACTAACTTGCCCAAGGTCTTATAGGTAAAGGCCAAGATTCGATCTGAGGTTTTCTGACTCCAAATCCAGGGCTTCCCCCACACACAATTACCATATGTCCACTTTGGAATGTATGAGGCTTTTTTTTAAATAAAAATTTCATAAAGAGTCAGATATAATGTATTTTGTATAAGATGCATTTTTCTTTGTAAAAAATTATTTTCCCCCAAAAGATGAAAATATCACATATCTTGTGACAAATTGAGTAGAACGTCAACCTGTCAACATCCATGAGCCTCTTACAAGCCTATCGGCTTGAGCTGTTTTAAAGAAAGATATCATTGCCACCACCCATCACAAAATTACTTCTATAGTGATCTTTCTCTAAAATATCTTATTCTCTCTGAAAGATTTTTCCTGCTAACACTTTGCATTAAAAAATTACCATGTTCAATATTACAAATATTGTATAGTGGTCTAAAAGAATTAAAGCATTTTCAATTCATTTCATTTCACCAAAAGAATAAAAACCAAAAGATTTATATTTCCTTTGCTACTACAATACTATTGTTTTAAGAACTGTATTCTATGGGGAATTACCTAAATATCTTTACTGAAATTATTTTTAAAGTATTACATTAAATATAAATTAAAATTTATTTTAAAACAACTTACGGTAAATCACCAAAACAACTGTAGCTTCTTCAGTCTGTCCTTTAGTATCTGTTCCTTGACACCGGTATATTCCAGCATCCTCTATATTTGCATTATAAATAGTTAGTCGAGACCTAGCACCTTCTTTTTGTACCACTACTCTCTGTGTAGAAACTATCTTCTCTCCTTGAGGATTGTACCAATCTATATCTTCCAGTTCTCCAATTGCTGCAAAGAATAATATCCAAACAAAAGTTTAAAATGCATTTAAAAGTGAATTTATTGAAATTGACATTTGTTTCTATTCAACCAACACTTTGAATAACTCAGAAAATAAAGTAAAAAGAAAGTATGTCTGTCTTAAGGCCTTACAAATCAAAAAATAAGTACTCAGTCAAGTTAGTCAATGAACAAGCATTTATTAGATACTTACATTGTGCTATGAAAAAACAAGGCAAAAACCAGCTCCTGTTCTCAAGCATCAGACATTCTGATGGAGAAGACACCATGTAAATAGCTAGGCATATACAAGATATATACAGAATATTGTGTGGGTCATCTGAAAATGAAAAAGCATTAGCTAGCAGCCGTGGGGGGAGGTGTCAGGAAAATCTTTCTGTGGAGGCATTACTTGAGAGGAGAAACTAAGAGTCAGAGATGAAGGGGCAGACAAAGAGGGAGAGAGAGATTCCTTTAATGATAGGAAGGAGGGCACTGGCATTTCCTGGCTTGCCAGCTCAAAGAAAACAAAAGAGAAGTATTGATTTAAATTTCTGCATATTGTCAGAGCAGTGAAAAAAATATGGATCTGGGTTCTGCTAGGCAAAGTTAACAGTTAGTTTTGGTTGGCAGAAGTCTGGGATGAGCAGAATCTCACACTCAAAGTATCACTTTCCTTTTTCTATTGTTTCCTTCCTGTGATAACCTAAGAAAGTTGAAATTAGAGAGGAAGTCACTCCCCAGGGATTGGGCTGGAAAAGAATGGTACTACCCATAAAGGGTAGGGATCAGAAAGAAGGAGTAATTAGGCCTTTCTTCAAACAGCACCTAACATACAACTGCTGGGCTTAAGTCATATAAGACTCAAAAGTGTGCATTATCTTAAAATATGAAATAGTAAACATAACTTCTACGATGTTCTACTGGGGCTGATGCTTAAAGCCCCAAATGTCAAACATTTTGTGGGACTACATAGCCATTTCACTTTCACCTTGACTCTATGCTGTCCAGACAGCTCCTTCAAAGGTCCTATCTTCTGATCAGGCAGGGGATGACTTGAGCTCATTCCCTTATTTGTGGTTATCTTTTCCAAGAAAGACATACTTTCAGAACATGCCACCTGATTCCTGTCTGCTCCAAATGAAGAATCTAGGAGCTCCTAACTCATGAGGTTGTCTCCAATGCTGGAACCATCAATTTTAGAATTGTTATTTGATAACCTATGTGCAGGGAAGGAAACACAGAAGAGACAGCCAAGGAAATGAAGTCTAGGACAAGGCTTTTAAAGTCAGAACATGTGTTTGGTGACATATGTGAGCAGTTGCCATAGCTGGGGAATGGGAAGGAATGAGGCTTCTTCCTTTCCTCAAAGTAAATGCCAAAGGACTTTCAGAAGAGAAAAAAGAAGTGAGAGCAGAAGTTATTTCTCCTTTTGAAATCTGCTGAGTGGTCAAAAGTAGCCAATTCTCTCTCTCTCTCTTTTTGGGTTAGGCAATGGAGTTAAGTGACTTGCCCAGGATCACACAGCTAGTAAATGTCAATCAATGAAAATCTGTCTTCTCTCCCTCCCACATATCCTTCCCTCAGGGAGAAAGAAAGTAAAACAAAATTTGTGTTATAAACATGCACAGTCAAGTACAACAAGTTCCACTATTAGCTATGTTTAAAAAAATCTTCATCTGAACTCTGAGTCTATCAGCTTTCTGGTAGGAGGCTGGGAACATACTTCACGATGATTCCTTTGGAATCATGGTTAGTTATTATGTTCGTTGATTGGTGTTCTAAGATATTTTAAAATGTCTGATTTTATAATGACATTATTGTATAAACCATCTCCTAGTGCCATTCACTTCATTCTTCATAAATCTTCCCAGCATTCACTGAAACTGTCCTCTTCATCATTTCTTATAACACAATAGCATCCCATCACAATCCCCATTTGATGGGAATTTCCTCCATTTCTAATTTTTTCCAACTAGAAGAAGAGGTTCTATAAATATTTTTGTACATATTTCTCTTTTTCCTCTTTTTTTTTAATCTCTGAAATATAGACCTGTAACCAGAGGCTTAAACCTATTATCTAAGACATTTATCATTGGTGAAAAGTGATTATTTGAGGCTCTGTGCCTTTGAGAGGATTATGGCTGTCAAGAACTTGGGAGAAGTGACAACCTGTTGTTCTGGCTTCTGCTTTTGAAAGAGAAGACACAGGGAGGTAGAATGAGAGGAAGTATTTGTGTCCAATTTACTTTCCTCCACAACAAACTAGAAGATGCACCAGACCAAATTCTGATGAGTAAAATCAAGAAAAAGTCACGAGTCATTTTTCTAGCCCAGGCCATCTGAGGAAGACAGGGAGGTCTGTAAACACTGAGTTGGAGGCTGATCAAGAGTGCAGCACAGAAGCAGCAGCAGGGATAGGGAGCATTCCAGTGCCCAGGAAAAGAAAAAGAACTAAGACAGAGCACTAGAGCAGGAAGCACTGGGGCAGAAAGACATCTCAGGATACCTGAACTGGCTGTAGGAACAGCTGCCATCCTGTATCTCTGTTACCCACTACCCAGATCCAGGGCAGAGAGGAGCAATAGTTCCTCTTTGAGAACGGGGTCAGCTGAGTACTGAGAAAGGAATAAATCCCAGAAACTTAGCTATGTGGCTCTGAGCTCAGATACAGAAAAAGTGACTCAGTTCTAATCCTGAACCCAACCCATAAGCCTGCAGTGGAATAATCAGGCCAAGAAACCAAGGGAGAGAAGCAGTTCAGATACTTGCATAAATCTTCCCAGCAAGCTAACAGTCACTGAGTACAGAAGTGGTTACTAAAACTCAACCATAAATAAGTCAACAGATCCAACTTGCAGAGCTCAAAATGGGAAGGCAGTGAACAGATCTTTTTGTAGATCATGCCATTTTGGAAGCGCTCAAAATTTAGAGGCCCACAGATTGAACTGTGAAAGCAGCAAGACATAAAAGGACAGATACAGGCCGGACATTCTGCTACACTGCACCCCTCCCCCCACACTAAGTAAGCAAAGACCAACACTAAGATGGTAAAAAGTCAAGAAGTAGGCTGAAAGAATAAGCATACAAAAAAGAACCCAACTATAAAGCCATGCTATAGTGATAGGGAAGCTCAAGACTCAAACACAGAAGACAACAATGCTGTAAAAATACCTAGAAGCAAAGCCTCAAAGAAAAATGCAGACTAGAATAAATCCAACAAGGACTCTTAGGAGAGTAAAAGAATTAAAGGAGTAGCTAAAAATGATTTTAAAAATCAAATTAGAGCTATGAAAGAAAGATATGAAAAGAAAATAGTTTGGTTAAAAAAAAGTACAAAGTCTTACTAAAGAAAAAAAAACTGGCCAAAGAGAAGCTAATGATTACAAGACATCAATAAATGATAAAACAAAGCCAAAAGATTAAACAAGTAGATGAAAATGTGAAATATAGCATAAGAAAAATAACTAACCTGGAAATTTAAGAATCATTGTACTGCCTAAAATCCATGAACAAAAAATGAGCCTAGACATCATATTACAAAAAATTATAAAGAACAATTGTCCAGATGTCTTAGACCCAGAGAAGAAAGAGAAGAAATCACTTCCTGAAAGAAACCCCAAAATAAAAACTCCCAGGAATATTATAGCCAATATTCATAAGTCAAAGAAAAAATGATGCAGGAAACCAGAAAGAAAGAATTCAGGAGCTGCTGTTAGGATCACACAATGTTCAGCAGCCCTCAGGTCTGGAATGTGATATTCCAGAACATAAAGAATTTAGGATTACAACCAAGAATTATCTACTGATCAAAACTGAGAATAATCCTGCAGGGGAAAAAATTTACATTTAATTAAATAGAAGACTTTTAAGCATCCCTGATAAAAAAAAAACCAGGGCTGAATGAAAATTTAATATTCAAATATAGGATTCAAGAAAGGCACAGAAAGACAAACATGACTGAGAAATTGTAAGGGCCTAAATAAGGTTAAACTGTTCACATTTTTATATGGAGAGATGATGCACGTAACCCTTCGGAACTTTATCATAATCAGGAGTCTTGGGGGAAGTCTAATTAGACAAAGGCCTGAGTGTGATTCTATTATGTTTGAATGATTTAAAAATAAGAATGGAAGGGGTGGTGAAAAGGTTTCCACTGGGAGAAATGGAAAGGGAGAGAAATGGGGAAAATTATTTCACAGAGGGTACACAAGGAAGAATTTATGCATTTGAGGGAGAGTGTGCAATACCTGGAACTTGTTCTCATCTGAACTAGTTCAAATAGGGAAGAATAAACACACATACACACACAGTTGGGTACAGAAATTCATCTTCTCCAACAGGGATGTTGGAGAAAAAAGGGATAAAGAGAAAGGGGGAAGAGGAAGGAGGGAATAAAAGGGAAGGAAAATTTAGAGAGGAAATGGTTCTTAAAAAGAGGACAGGGTTAAAAAGGAAAGGATAATTATAAGATAATAGGATGTAGAGAAATACACGGTTAGCAACCATAACTCTGAATGTGAATGGGATGAACTCACTCATAAATCAGAACAGAAAAGCAGAATAGATTAGAAATCAGAATCCAACAATATGTTGTGAACAAAAGACACACTTGAAACAGAAAGATATCCAGAAAGTTAAAATAAGAGGCTTATTTGCTTCAGTGAAAGCAAAAATATACCTAATTAAAAGAGATAAATAGGGAAACTACATTTTGCTGAAACGTACCATAGAAAACAAATTAATATCAATAGCGCTCACATATGTACCAAATGACATAGCATCTAAATTCCTAAAGGAAAAGTAAAATGGAAGAAACAGACTGTAAAACTATACTACAGGTGGAATCTCAATTTACCCCTTAGTCCTAGACAGATCTAACCATAATATAAACAAGAAAAGCACTGATGAAATCCACAGCATTTTAGAAAAGTTATCTCTGGAGAATAATGAATAAAAATAGAAAAAAGTATATCTATTTCTCAGCTATGCAAGGCATCTTCAAAAAA